CATGTGGGCCAGTTTGGAGTGAGCTGCCTTGCTCTGTCACTCATGTGAAGGTAGGAACTGTGAGATGGTAGGCATAGGCTCAGACAGAAGCCAATGTTGCAGGAAAGGACTTGATTGATTCATTGCACCTGCAAACAAAAAGGCAGACTAGCGCAAAACTCTTGCACCCCCAGTATGTTGATCAATTTTTGAGGTATCGCCTTTTGGGGGGGTTCCGAACCGGGCCGGAAAGGACATGTGGAAAGCGAGTTCCCCCGAGATGTGTTCGAAATTTGGTGAGGCTCGCAGGCACCAACTTTTTTTCTTTTTGCGAGCACAGACTGCTGGCGATTTGCCTGAAGCTGCTGTCAACTTTCTAGGGAAGATAGTAGGTTTTTGCCAAAGCTGGTATTCACTTCCAACAGTCGCTTTGCAAAAGGTGAAAAGGTTGATGCTCGAGAGAGCAAGCAACAAGGATCCACAACCTGAATGCGTTTGTGCTTGGGAACGTTCCCTCCATGCAGCTATGTGTGTTGGCTCACCTGCTACTTCCATGTTTAAAAGAAACATGCTTGTGTCAAAATGAGACGCCCCTTTGGAGGCGCGAATGGTGGATGGTCCTGTTGTGGTGATTTGCACCAGGGATGCTGGCAAATGGCCCTGGCACACAAATGACAGTAGGGCATCATGCTGGAAACGAAAGAATCCGTGGGTACAGCACTTGCTGGTAAATAGACGCCGGAAGAATTGAAAAAGCAACTTCTCCAGGGCCTAGGTAGTTTCCTTTTGACAAATCACAATTAAGGGTCGAAAATAGGCTCCTGGCACAATCCACAACTTGCTGCAATGGAAGTAGCGTAGGTGCAAATCCCTGTCCTGCCAATCGTCCTTTGGGAATCACCAAGATTTCCCTGGGAGTGTGGCATTTTCCGAAAAGAACAACAAAGACACATGCTACCATCCAGAAAAGTATAGAATGGGAAAACTGGGTGGTTCAATGCCTTGCGGGTGGTTTAGTAAACTTGCCCGGCCACGAAAATCCCCTGTTGAGTTTGACCCAAAGGAAGTTCGTGGCCTCCCTTTTTCGTCATGCTTTCTGCTGAGAACCTCAGATGAAACCAACTGGGATCTTGAGCATGAACAAAGGAAACCCACTAAGCATGGAGCTAGTTGAGGAAACCCACTAAGGCAACCAAAAAGCGGTTTTCGCATTAGGGAGAAGGGACTAGTGGGGCTCACTGCGATTTCAGTTCACTTCCATTTGGCTAAGAATATGTTATTTGTTTGTTTCCCCTGTTGGTTTTAAAGGGAATCTATCACTACTGGATTTTTTCCCAGCGGGCTTAAGCAATGGAAGTTGACAGTTTTTTGGGAAGACCAGTTTAGTCATTTTCGTAGTAAAAGTTTCTGTTTCAGGCCAAGACAGTCAGGAAGATCGGCGGCCCGGTAGAATCGACTTGGCCAGTGAAACAAGTTGATCTTTGACGCCAGGTTTGTCAAGGGGTCTTAAGCAAATGGAAGTTCAGCGACTTCGGGTCGCCAGTTGTTTTATCACTGCAGTGCATTCGTCCTCAGCGAATCGAGGTGTGGCCCAGCAGCTGCAGGAGCCGTTTTTGCGCGCCCATTTGGGTGTGGGTCAAAATTACACTAGGGGACCGCAGGTTTTAGTCCCTGGTTCCATTTGCCAGGGTTCCATGTTGGGTACCTATTTTTGACCCACAGCCATTTCAGGAGGCACAGTACGTGGGAAAAAAGAGCCGTGGTTTTTCTCGACCAAGCTGTTTAGTTTCACAGGCTGGTTTTTGTTGCCCCTCCAACAGTGGTCTGAGTCCAACCGCTAAACCCTGAAATGCACACCCAAGTGAATCAAAATGGTGCGGGGGAAATTGGCCCTCGGCGCCTGGTGGATGGGGAAATTCTCACTCAGCGTCAGGTGAACATTGAGAGAGAACGGCTTGCTTGTGCGATAGTAGGTGGTAGGGAATGACCGAGTCCGTGTTTCGGGAATGAACCTAGGGATTCCCTCAAAGCAAACCATAGGGCATGGTTTATAGGGGTTATTCCCCTCATTCCCTGCTGAGAATCCGCAAGGAATTGTAAAGCCTATACAAACTAGGTCCCCCACAGTAGTGCCCTTTTACCCTTTTTTGGGGAAGGATTCCCCTACTACAATAACCTTATTCTACCCTCTCTACCAGAGGACCTAGCAAAGCTTCATACCGCTGCTAGCACCAAAAGTCCATGGGCTTTCGGCGTTGCTCATAGCTTCGCTCGAAGTATCGTGTCTATGTTCCGGGCCAGGGCATGGGGGGCATGGGGGACTGTCTAGAGTCTAGAGTTAGCACCAGGACACTATTGGATCTACCCATGTGCATAGAGGGTGCAGCAAATTGTAGCTGTGGCGCATCACATGTTTCCGGTTCGAGAAAAGAACAGAAAAAAAGAAGAAAAGAAAGAGTAACACGTCGAACATCAGTCCACAAGTATTGCTTGTTCTGAACACCATAGCCATGGGCTATATGTGCCATGAAGTAGCCCCACCTGCGGTCCAGCGACGCCTTCTTTGCCGTCACCTATAGTCAAAAAGCTGCGCATTTTTGCGTACCAAACCCAGGTCCCCCAGCTAGGTGCCCTTCTCTCCCCCTTTTTGGTTGGGAGGGTTCCCCTACTAAAATAGACTACAGAAAAAAGGGTACCCTTATTCTAACCTCTCTACTGGAGGACCTAGACTTGTGCTGAAGGGTTGCAACTTTCGAGCTGCAGCTGCGGAAATGTCAAGCACAGTTTCCCTACTACATGCGTAGGACGTACCTCGGTAGCAAGATTCGTGTGTTGCGCGTTAGATACTCTCAAGACAAGTCATACCCAGGCACATCTTAGGGGTTTCAGACTGTTGCCTACATTTTGTCTGTCGGGTTTGATTGTGGTTCCGTCCCTACCTTGATGGAAGGGAGGTTTGGAGGCGATTGTGGCATTAAGCTTTTGTGGGTTCGATTGGATCACCGTTAGGATTGCTAGTCACCTAAAGTGGAAGCCCAAAATCAACAATAACTTTCATGTCATTTTGGATCTCAACCAGTGTTGATCAAAAGCGACCAGCCTTGTTGGATCTTCACCTATGTCAGTTCGACGTAACCCCGGCTGGACTTTATCTAGGTCTTTACAGCCTTGCAATGCATCAGCATGAAAGGCCATTTGCCACACCAAGCGTGTCAAGTTTGTCTTTTGCATTTGGTTTCACCCCGAACGGGGACAATGATCTTGGGCGCGCCTTAATGGATAGCTTTCTTCCTAAACAATATGAGGATATGCGACGGTCTTGATCTTGCCAGCTCCATCATGAGCTATTCAGCGGTCTCAGTTCCTTCCGGAGCCAATGCATGCGTTTCTGGTTCAGGCCAAGACACTCAGAACCGATTCGGTCAGTGAAACAAGTTGATCTTTGACGCCAGGTTGATCAAGGTGTTGCCAGGCCTTGACTCGCATACATGTCTGATGACATGTAGGCACATCAGTGGGCACCATGTCCGAGCGGGCCTGCACATGGGTGTGAATGTATCTTTTTGCAGATCGTGATGTTCCGTGCAAGGTTCACACACACGCCCGGCATATTACTTACTACATGTGTGCGCATGCCAAGCAGAGATGCGGTTACCTTTTTGGGATATGGCTCATGCATTGAATGCTTGCTGTTCTTTGCCGTGCAAAAATGCAAGGAAACTGTAATCACCATTTCAGAGACTCCGGATTCTCACTCACGGCTTTTCAAGACTCCTTTGAGCCAGCCTCATAGCTTGCCTCTTGAAGTCTTTGTGGCGGCTCGAGGATCTGCGCGTGAAAAGCTGGATCAGGGAGTACGAGGTCTCAGAGGAAGAGTGCGCCTGGGCTTTGCCTCTAGGCTTCGCAGCGCAGCGCTCAATTCATTAGCGCCGGAAACTGTCTAGGCCCCCCAGCTAGGTGCCCTTCTCTCCCCTTTTTGGGGGAGGGTACCCCCTACTAAAGACTGCAGAAGAAGTTGGTACCCTGATTCCAACCTCTCTACTGGAGGACCTAGACTTGTGCTGAAGGGTTGCGCAAGAGCGCGACCTGTTTTGCGGACTGATGGTGATGTGTTTGGGAGAACAGTTCGCTATTTTGAGGGCGAAACATGTTCTTCAGGACAGGACCATTATGTTGATGCGTACAAAGGGCTGCCTCTCATCTTGTTGTTTCTCACTCCTCTCACTCTCTCTATCTCTCTTAGGTGTGTGTGTGTGTGTTGGTGTTTGTGTGCTTGACCTCTCGTCGCAGGAAGGCTGGTGAGGCGTGTGCCATGTCTGTGGTTTGGTTGAGTGCAATTCTGCCATGGATTCTAGCCACTCATCGGGCACAAGCTGAGCTGGAGTTGGATCCAGTTGCCCAAATGGCGCTCGCTGCCAGCAAACCCCTCACGCACCTGCAGCTGGTGATGGGCGGGACCTTTTTCGGCATGGGTCTGGGCACCATGCTGCTGCCATCTCTCGTCATGGACACATGCTTCAACCCGACCTACTTCAGTGGCACAGTCGGCGAACGTGTGCTGGTCGGCTGCTTTGGTGCCCAGGCAACGCTTCAGGGGATCCTTTTGCTTTCATGTCGATTCTGTAAGCGAACCTGGGTGTACTGGGGACTCGGCATTTTGCCATTTGTCGTATTTGATGCGTACGCCTGTCCCTGGGGCCCTTTGCCGGTGCTGACCTGGCTTGGAGCCGCCGGCGATGGTCTTGGCAATGCCATATTCCTTGCGGCTTGTTATCTCGGCTACCACCGTACCGACGACGGCGACGATGAAACCGGGGCCGTTTCCTTGCGACAGCTCGCTTGATAGGTACCATTTTTGCAGCACCGACCGCTCGACGCCAGGATTGTTCTCATGCTGGAGCTACAAGTATAGGAGACAATGAGCCAGAGGACATTTGCGAGCAAACCCCACTTGACGATAGGCGACAATTTTATCTTGCGACCATCAATGTGTCTCAGGCTGAATTTGGCCTTCCAAAGTGCTTTACGTGGGCATTCATGCGCACGGATCAGCCGCACATGATTGCTGTATGCGCAAAACCTTGCATCACTTTGCCATCCTTTGCTACAGGTTTTACGGGTGTTCAACGTTCTGGTGGCAACAACGTTTTAAGGCTCCAAACTGAAGAATCAGTTGGCTGGCCGTCGGCCAAAGAACAGTCTCCTGGTCATTATGGTTTGCTATTGATCGCGTATCAACAGTGCCTGTTTAACTTATTCTCAATTGCCCAAAGCTGACTTGGCTGTGGCTCAAAAAACCGGTACCAAAATGAAACCCTGGTTAGTGGAAACATGGACCAAAACCTGCGGTTGGCCCCTCCTGTTTAATTTTGAGCCACACCCACTTTTTGACCTTTCGGTGATTTTGGTGTCCTCCTTTGTTGGGCTCCAAGAAGCCAACCCTTTGTCTCCAGGTCCTTTGTGCAAGTGAGCGTTCTTTTCCCGGTGCTGTTTCCTACAGATCCGAAACTGTTGGAGGTGTGTGCTGCCAGTCACCCCGTTGGAACAGGTCTTCATCGGCAATTTTGATCAAAGATGCTGCAACTCAATCAGCTTCACTTCCCAGAAATGGACAAACTTCAAAGGAGCTGGCCTCCTTGCATCCTTGATTTGGTAGCGATGCATGAGCCCTCCAGTCGCATCTTCGGAGCTGTTGGATCCTTTTGGGCTGCTGGCGCAACGCCGAGCCCAAATGTGAAGGGTTGTTTTCCCATTTTTATTTACGAAACTGGATTGGAAAGCCCCGTATCCTTCCAGAATCCTATGAGGTGCCTTGGACCAAGCGCTTCGACTCTGGGAACCCTCACCGCAGGTACGTCCATTCCATGCTGCTCCTGGAGGCCCGAAATTGCGAAGCGAACGCTCGGGGGCAACGGGCATCCTCCAGTCAAGGCGTCGGCTCGTGATTTTTTATGGGATTGGTGCCAAACGAAAACCGCGAGCCATTTTTGGGGGGGTTCCCCCCAAAAAGACAGACCCACCGAAGAAGCTGTAAGAAAAGACTAGGAATCATCTATTTTTGGACCTCTTTGAGTTGCAGTTTAAATTGAAGCTTGCGGAGTACGTCAGGATTCGCTCGTGTTGATCGGGCGGTGCCTTTTTTGCACCAAAGGTGTGCTGCAGAGCTACTTCTACATTCACTTTTGCAAAGACCAATGGTTTAGCTATGTTTAATGGCTTGGATATTATGTAAAGATCTATGGTTTAGCTATGTTTAGTGGCTTAGATAGTTTGGTGCTTGAACCAGACGCTTGCCGAGTGCCAACGTTTCACGTGCCAAATTCTGCGCCGGAATTCGCTTTCGCGTCAGGCGCAGGACCGCTGCGCGGCGCAGATTCATACGCCTCTGAAGGTCTCCCTGGCGAAGTGCCCCTGGCAAGTCCGGACGTGGGTCTTCTTTTCTAGGTCCCCTAGCAATTGGTGCCCTGCACCAACGTTTTTTGGTTCGGAGATTCGGTTCCCCTAGAATTGTCCAAAACTGAAGAAAAGAAAAAGGGTACCAACTTCTTCTAACCTCTCAAATCTGGAGGACCAGTTTTGGTGTGTGCTGTGGTTACTTTTCCAATCACTTCCGCGGTGAAAACCCGCTGACCTCCGAGAGTAGGTCAAAAATGGGTAACGTTGCTCCCCACTCGTGCTATCAGTTTTCTTCTGGTCAGAACCGTTGCGACGGAAGGGAACCCACAGCTGTATGGGTGGGTGTGGGTGATATTACGTACCACTGGCTCTGGGTGTGCTTTTTACAGTGTCTCCTCAAGTGCCAACCAAAAGGGGGTCGACCATTTGGGTGGGTGTTTCTTGAAGGTTGCCTTGGGATGAAAGGGAAGCACAAATATGGGGCTCCTCTGTTTTGACACATACCCATTTCGATTTCCCTCAGTGATTCAGAAAACCCGGAAAATGGATTCGAACAAACGGGTTCTAGCTTGTGCCAAATGCCAATCATGTAACATCCTACCCATTGTAGCCGTTTTGCCTCCAGGGAGCCTATAAAGGGAAGAAGCAAGCGCGGAAAAGAAGGTGCCCTCTGGTTCGCACGGCAATCACCGATTCCCCAAGAACACAGGCCAATTTTTAGCTGCCAGAGACCATGGAGCCATGGATGTGGCATATATAGATATGTATGGCTGTGGCTCAAAAATCCGGTACCAAAATGGAACCCTGGTAAGTGGAAACACGGACCAAAACCTGCGTAACCCCTCCTGTTTAATTTTGAGCCACACCCATATATATTTGCAACCATGGTTGACTTCCTGGTGGTGTCTCTTGAACTACAAGTAGCCGGTGGTTCGGGAGCCGGGGATATCCAAAACGGCTTTTGAGAAGAGAGAGCTAAGGAGCCACCAAAACTTATAAGGACATGGTAGTAATGCCATCCCCAAAGGGGAGGGGGGTCCCAAATGGGACACAGCCATTCACTTGCACTTTGCTGTATTGAAAAATTCAACCGATCAATCAAGGGGCCAGGGCTCGACAGTTGAGCAGTTTGCCGGGGGCAGATGATGCTTTTGGATTTTTTTGTCGGACGGCTTCGCTCTCGCATGGTTCTTACAATTGTTGTTCAAGCGTGTGCTTCTGACCTGACAATGCGTGAGCAAGTTGATGTGTCTCCTGGCTTGTTTGTCAATTTGTTGGCGTGTTTTCGCCGCCTGAGCAGGGCCAACAACTAGCATGCTTCATCCACGGACCTTGCTGCCAGCTGCCGCACTTCGCACTGTGCAACGCTTATGGTGAGGAGTGGCGATGTGCCACTTGGAGTTGCCAACGTGTACTTTGCGTGCCACGTTTGTACTGAACAGTTGCCGTGTTCTAGCTGGAGATACCAACAGATCTCAGGTGCTTGACAATTCAACCGATAGATCGTGTGCCAAAAAGCTGCCGCCGACATTTGACAGACTTGGAAAATGGGCAATGGGAAGAGCAAGTTCCACAACTGTTTAGCCCCAAGGTATCCGATATCCCCATCTTTTGAGCTGGAGGACTTTTGACTTTTCCTGAGCGCAAACGTATCGGGACGCCAATCAAGCACAATAATGTCATCGGGTGAGTATGTGGGAGTGCTTGGAACTCACTATCATTTGTCAAAGAAAGTCCCCACGCATAAGCGCAAACACGGTGCGTGATTGGTGTGTGGCTTTTTGACGCCCGCGTGTGGAACGCTGAGTTGGAACCTTGAGTTCCGCTCTCTCAAGTTTGCTTAAGCAGCATCAACACCACCGAGGCTTTACGCACATCATCCTTTCTACACCGTATGTTCAATGCCGCTTCACGCTCGTGCACACACACACACACAGGCCGCGTTGACGTAAAGCATGTTCGGACAGATTCTGCCGTTGGGCGCATTCCCCCAGAGCAATAGCCTGTGTGGCCTGTGCGCTGGCGCAGGTACCCGAAGATGCTGCAAAACCTGCAGAGCCTGTTCAACCGCTCGGACCCTGGTTCCCTCAGCCGCAGTTTCCCTTGCGCAGCGGGCCACTGTTTGCACTCTTAAACCGGTTTGACTGTGGGTTTGGGTCAAGACTGCGGTGTTGAGTAGGGCGTGCCTTTGTCTGTTCGCCGGTTGGCTGTTTTCTTTGTCAAATTCCACCATTCCCCGGCATCTGGCATCCGATTCCCAAAAACTGAGAATAAAACTTCATCGTGATCCTCCCGGCCCGAAAAGAACCAGATCAAAAATATCCCCCCCCCCGGAGAAAAAGAAAAAAGCAGATCAAGAATATCCCCCCCCCCCGGAACAAAACATGAGAAACAAACAAACTATTTCTCACACAAATGGGCGGGCGCCGTTTGGTCTCCCAACCCCCTCGCAGACTTCAGCCGCAGCCCTGGAGGTGCGGACTCGCGCGGCTGCGCCTTTCTGTCGCAGCAAGACCTGGCCAGGATGTACCGGGAGAGGCCGGGGCGGTTGGTCACACGGGGCCAACCCTAGTTTTGCAAAGTCGTAAAATGCCAAGAATCCCAGTGAAAACGGAAGGTGTTTGAAAAAAACGATTGAACATAATGGAAAGAGAACAACCCCTACTAGGTCCCCCAGGATCGTGCCCTTCTCTCCCATTTCTTTTTTTTGGTTGGGAGGAACCCCCCCTGGTAAAATAGACAGAAAAGAAAAAAGTTGGTACCAACTTCTTCTAACCTCTCTACTGCGCGACCTAGGGGCCCATTTATCCCCAAGGAAAGAAAAGCAAAAGGCACAAAAGTCGGCAGGTCCCAAAAGGGTTTGCATCTTAGACAACACCCCAGTGGGTGTCAAAATACGCTGGATGTCCACCACATAGGTGGTTCCATCTCTTAACAATCATAACATTGCTGATTTCCTTTGAAACGCACCCCAACACTGGGTACCCCCCAAAAAAAAGACAGCGCCGGAGTCCCCTCAAGACTGGGTTCGACTGCAAGTGGTCCCCGTGTTGTTTCCTGAGTTTAAGAAATCAAGGTCGTGACAATCTATATCGCGTCGTCGTGTTCACCATATGGCTGTGGGTCAAAACCGTTTTGGGATCCCATTTTGGGGTCGGTGCACCACCCATTTTAGAACCTATGTTCACCTCTAAGGGTTTTTGTATTGCACCCTGGGAATACACCGACTGGGTATTGACCCCATTTAGGCACATTTCCGGATAAACCCGTGTTAGATTGAACCATTCTGGGTCATTTCCCAAGGGTGTAATCCCAGGGTGTAATGCAAAAACCCTCAGATCACCGGGGGCTGACCGGGCTTTTGATGTTCACTGGGGGTACGATTTGGATTTTGACCCATGGCCCCCAGTGAACATCCCAATCTAACCACTAAAATAGGTTCTAAAATGGGTGGTGAATTCACCTACCAACCAAAAGTGAGATACAAAAACGGTTTTGACAACCACAGCCATCTCTTTGGATCGCAGCGTCTCAAGCACCATCGCTGTGCGGTCTGTGCGCGTCTCGGGAGGCTTTGGCGCCTTCATCCCAACTGCAGCGATGGCCGGCCTTTGACGGATGCGGA